AGCAAAAAAGTAAAAAGATAACCTACAGACTTGGAAAAAATTTTTGGCTACAACATATCTGATAAGGGTCTACTCTCTAAAATGTATAAGATATCGCAACACCTCAACAACAAAAAGACAAATAACCCAATTAAAAAATGGTGAAGGATATGAACAGGCACTTCACCAAAGAAGACATTCAGGCAGCTAACAGATACTTGAGGAAATGCTCACGATTATGAGCCATTAGAGAAATGCAAATCAAAACTACAATGAGATACTATCTCATCCCAACAAGGCTGGCACTAATCCAAAAAACACAATAAATGTTGGAGAGATTGTGGAGAGACTGGAACACTTATGTAATGATGGTAGGAACGTAAAATGGTACAACCACTTTGGAAATCGATTTGGCGCTTCCTCAAAAAGCTAATAATAGAAGTTCCATAGGATCCAGCAACCCCACACATTGGAATATATCCTAGAGAAATACGAGCTATCATACGAATAGATATATGCACACCCATGTTCACTGCAGCACTGTTCACAACAGCAAAAAGACAGAAACAACCTAGGTGCCCATCAACAGATAAACAAATTACAGTACAGAAACACAATGGAATTCTACGCACCGATAAAGAACAATGATGAACTCGTGAAACATCTCACAACGTGGATGAATCTGGAGGGCACTATGCTGACTGAAATTAGTCAGTTGCAAAGGGACAAATATTGTATGGGACCACTATTATAAGAACTCAAGAAAAGGTTTAAACACAGAAGAAAACATTCTTTGATGGTTACGAGGGTGGGAAGGGAGGGAGGGGGGAATTCACTAACTAGATAGCAGACAAGAATCATCCTGGGTGAAGGGAAGGACAACACACACTACAGGGGAAGTCAGCACAACTGGACAAAACCAAAGCTAAGAAGTTTCCTCAATACAACCAAACACTTGGAAGGACAGAGTAGCAGGGGCGGGGGCCTGGGGACCATGCTTTCAGGGGACATCTAGGTCAACTGGCATGACAAAGTTTATTAAGAAAATGTTCTGCATCCCACTTTGGTGAGTGGCATCTGGGGTCTTAAAAGCCAGCGAGCGGCCATCTTAAGATGCATCAATTGGTCCTAACCCACCTGGAGCAAAGGATAATAAGGAATACCAAAAACACATGGAAAGTATTAGCCCAAGAGACAGAAAGGGCCACATAAACCAGAGACTTTATCAGCCTGAGACCAGAAGAACTAGATGTGCCCGGCTACCACCAATGGCTGCCCTGACAAGGAACTCAAGAGAGTTCCTGACGGACGATGAGAAAGTAGGACGCAGAACTCAAATTTTAGTAGAAAGACCAGACTTAATGGTTTGAGACTGGAGGGGCTCTGGAAGACATGGCCCTCGGGCTTTCTGTTAGCCCAAAACTAAAAACATTCCGAAGGTCAATTCTTCAAACATTAGACTGGACTATGGGACATAAAATGATACTCATGAAGAGTGTGCTTCTTAGCTCAAGTAGATACATGAGACTAAATGGGCAGCTCCTGTCTGGAGGCAAGATAAGAAGGCAGAGAGGGTCAGGAGCTGGTTGAATGGACACGGGAGATCAGGGGTGGAAAAGAGGAGTGTGCTGTCACAGTACAGGGAGAGCAACTAGGGTCACATAACAATGTATGCATAAATTTTTATATGAGCAACTAACTTGAATTGTAAACTTTCACTTAAAGCACAACAATTAAAAAAAAATTTTAAAAAAGAAAATGTTCTGCATCCCACTTTGGTGAGTGCCGTATGGGTCTTAAAAGCTTGCTAGCAGCCATCTAAGATACATTTATTGGTCCCAACCCACTTGGAGTAAAGGAGAATGATGAACACCAAAGACACAAGGAAAATATTAGCCCAAGAGACAAAATAGCCACAGACTCCATCAGCCTAAGACTAGAAGAACTAGATGGTGCCCGGCTACCACCAATGACTGCCCTGACAGGGAATACAACATAGAGTCTCTGAGCAGGATAAAAGTTTGAAGCAGAACTCAAATTCATGTAAAAAGACTAAACAGTCTGAGACTGGAGGAACCCCCGAAGCCATGGCCCCTGGACACTCTGTTAACCCAGAACTAAAACCATTTCCGAAGCCCACTCTTCAAAGATTAGACTGGACTATGAAACGTAATACTCGAGAAGAGTGTGCTTCTTAGTTCAGGCAGATACCCAAAACCAAATGGGCAGCTCCTGTCTGGAGGCAGGATGAGAAGGCAGGAAGGGACAGGAGCTGGTTAGATGGACATGGGAAACCCAGGGTGGAAAGGGGGAATGCTGTCACATTATAGGGATTGCAACTAGTGTCACATAACAATATGTGTATAAATTTTTATATGAGAAATTAACTTGAACTGTAAATTTTCACCTAAAGCACAATTAAAAAACAAACAAACAAAAGATCGGCGGTTTGAATCCACCAGTTGCTTCCTGGAAACCCTATGGGGCAGTTCTACCCTGTTCTATAGGGTGGCTATGAGTTGCAATTGACACGATGGCAACAGATTTGGTTTGGTTTTGGTTTATGTGCGAAGCACTGTGACCATCTGTCGAGAGGAAAACAGAGGATAAGGAAGGTTTAGTAACTTGTTTAATATTGTATAGCTTGTAAGCTGCAGAGTTGGAATTTGAACCCAGGACAAACCAGGGGAGGATTCAGGTTTTGCAGGGCCTTTAGCTTATACAATTTTAGGAGCCTTCTCTAAGAATACAAAAATCTTATTTTTTAAAAATTTCAAAAACGTATGACCATGTGAACATACTGCTAGGGCGGCCTCTCGGAAAGGGGCTTCCACAAGCGAGGGGCTTCCGCAAGTGAGGAGCTCACACTAGTGAGGGGCCCTGAAGTTTCATTAGCTTCAAGGTAAATCTTGTTCTGAGCTATGCTGTTAGCCACAATGCTTTATTTCCTTCCAAGTTAGTTATGTGAATAAATATAACGATTGTATGAGTACATTTCTTTGAATTAAAAAACGTGAATAAGACTATCCATTTGACAGAAAAAAAAGTTATAAACACGAAGAGCTTGAAAATTAGTTAGAAAAAAATTGCCTGGTATTATGGAAATTTGGTGTGCTTTATGGATGAGCCTTGAGTCTGTTAAAGGTGACATTCAAAATTAATTCTACACCCTCCACCATGAAGTTTTTCCTGACCATGAACTTTTCCTGACACTAACACCCCACCGTTGGGTGATCTTTTTTCCTGTACCTAGGACACCTTGTAAATCCTCATTAAAGCAATGTATTGCATAGGATTATTTACATTTTTAGTTTCCCAAACTGTACATGCCTTGCAAACTTGGTCTCTCCATTTTTTAATACCTTAGCATGGACACAGTTAAGTATTCAACAAATATTTATTGCATAAATGACAAACAACTTTACAGGATACTAAGATACAGTAAACTAAGATTCTAAACTTTAAAAATTAATTATTGAGAGCTAGCACTGGTATAAATGAAAAATAATAAAAAGTAATATTATAGCAGTATTATACAACCTTAAAAACCTAAACCAGTTGCCTTCGAGTCGACTCCAACTCATAGCAACCCTACAGAACGCAGGAGAGCTACCCCATAGGGTTTCCAAGGTTGTAAATCTCTATGGAAGCGGATTGTCACATCTTTCCCCCACAGAGCGGCTGGTGGGTTCAAATGCTGGTGGGTTCGAACTGCTGTTTCAGTTAGAAGTTGAGTGCTTAACCACTGCACCACCAAAGCTATCATACAATCTTAAAAAAAAAAAAAAACTGCTGTTGAGTCAATTCCGACTCATAGCGAACCTATAGGACAGAGGGTCACTACGAGTTGGAATCGACTCAATGGCAACAGGTTATAGGGTTTCCAAGGAGCAGCTAGTGGACTCAAACTGCCTACTTTTGGTTAGCAATGCTTAACCACTGTACCACCAGGGCTTGGGAACCCTATGGGGCAGTTCCACTCTGTCCTACAGGATCGCTGTAAGTTGGAATTGACTCGAGGGCAACAGGTTTTATATAGTCTTATGGGAAGGAAAAGAGATATTTAACCTGTATATCCTCATAGTAAATATTAATTAGGTTAAGAAAAATCTGACAATCCTATCTAATATTCTGCCTTCTATGTTCCCTCTTATTTTCTTCGCTGCACTTATATGAATTAATTAATTTTTTTATTGACAGTCTTGCCCCCAGGCTTGTAAGATCCTTGAAAGCAAGGTCCTTGTCTATATTGTTGATCCTTGTATCCCCAGCACTTGGCAGAATGCCTAGCACATGGTAGGCCCTCAGGAAGTGTTTGTGAATAAGTGAAAAAACTATGCCAACTATAATGTTTCAAGGACATGAATGGGAAAGAAGGAAGACAATTTCACAAACCATAACAATATTTTCTATTTGATTGAAGAGAAAATAAAAAAAGGAAATGAATGGTGGGACTTAAAATGTGACTGAATTTTAACACACCAAAACTTATATCTCCAAATGAACTTTTCCTCTTTCAATGTAGTCACCTCTAGTACCTATAAAGACAGTCCAACAACTCTCCTATTGCTTAAAACATATTTTTGGAATTTTCCATTTGAACTGCTGTTAGAGCCTGAGGCTCAATTCCCAAAGTGTGGACTTGACTTTGAGAAACAACCAAAACTAATTTGGAGTTAGCCTGGTAAATAAAGTCAGTGATAAAGCTGGGTAACAGTATTTTAAAAATGAGGTCTGCCTATTAAAAAAGAGGGAGACTGATTTTCGATATCAGCCCAGAATTGGAAAGTTTTCTAGGGCAGAAGAATGAAGGTAGTGAAAGAATGTGTTAATTGAAAAACAAATTTACGGTGGCGGGAAATGTAAAACTTAAAAAAAAAAAAAAAACTTGCATATTTTATTATTCCCAAACTCCAAGAAAAATCGTCCCTAAGACATAGCGTGTTCATAAGAATCTATGCAAAGTGGGGGAATGTTAAAAATCAGCAGAGACCCAAAGAACTTTGCAACCCTATACCAACCATAACGAAATCATCCTTCCGATAGGCCTGAAAGGTCTGGTCAAATCCGAACGCCTGTGCCTTGATTCTACCCAGCATGGACCTGGGGCAGAAGAGGAAAGAAAACTCAGCGGGGTCCGGCCCCCTCTCAGGGCGCACGTTCACCACGGAATCCACCCCCACCCCCCACTACAGCAGCTTCGGGATTTCAATCTCGAGGGCCGAGTGGCCGACGGGGCCGCCTCGACGCCCGGCCCGCGCCGGGCCTCGCGCCTCCACAGCAGCGAAGGCCAAGGAGCTCTTCTCTCCTCGCCCCTCACCACTGGCGGAGCCGGCTGGTGGTCTCTTGGGATGTGAGGGATTGGAAGGTTTTCTGAGGTAGAAATCTGAAGTAATAACTCCCCAAGTGCCCCGGCTCGCCGGCCGCCATCGTGGTCTTCGCTCCGCGGAAGCCCAGGCCGTTTCCAGGGAGACGCAGCTGCCGTCGGGTCAGCGTGCAGCGCCGAGGGCGGGGCGGGGGCGGGGCGGAGACGGGGCGGGGCGGGACGGCTACGTGTCTGCTAGGTCCAGAGGTACCCGCCTCTCCGCAGGGTCGCGGAGTGGGCAGTGAGGAACATTAGCTCCAGCTTTCCAGGAAGAAGTACTACAGCCTTCTATCCCCGGTTTAGCCAGATATGGAGATTCGAGGTTCTGGTCTGAGAAAAATTGCCAATCAATACTCGTTGAAATTAACTTAGTAATAATTACTCAGCATGGGTTAATTACCTAGACTTAAAGCACTGTAATCTTACTTAGATCTAAATTTGATGACTCAGACGTTTCTGAAGAAAAAAGTTATTCCGAATTAATCAGGCTTATCTATTTTGGAAGACAAATGTTTATGTGACTACTTTGGAAACTATTCTACCATATGGCTCATTAAAAAAAAATATTGTGGTAAAATATATATAGCAGAACTGCCATTTATTCATTTTTAAGTATGCAATTCAGTGACGGTAATTACATTCACCATGTTATGCAACCATTACCGCTATTTCCAAAAGGTTTCATCACTCCAAACAGAAACTCAGTACCCCTTTTAGGCATTTAACTCCCTAGCCTACCCTCCCCCCAGCTCCTGGTAACCAACCACTAACAAACTTTCGTCTCTATGTATTTCTTATTCTGTTCTGTTCTGTTCTATTCTATGGTCTTCGAGTTGCAATTTTGAAGGATTCTATGGGCAAAATATTGAACAAGGTAAGAAGCATCAAAAGAAGATGGAAGGAATACACAGAATCACTGTACCAAAAACAATTGATCAATGTTCAGCCATTTCAAGAGGTAGCATATGATCAAGAACCAATGGTATTGAAGGAAGAAGTCCAAGCTGCGCTGGCATTGGAGAAAAACAAGGCTCCAGGAATTGACGGAATACCAATTGATATGTTTCAACAAAGAGGTGCAGCAGTGCTGGAGGTGCCCACTCGTCTATGCCAAGAAATTTGGAAGAGAGCTACCTGACCAACCGACTGGAAGAGATCCATATTTGTGCCCATGGCAAAGAAAGGTGATCCTGCAGAATATAGAAATTATCAAACAATGTCATTAATACCACACACAATGAAATTTTGCTGAAGATAATTCAAAAATGATTGCAGCAGTACTTCAACAGGGAACTTCCAGAAATTCAAGCCAGATTCAGAAGAGGATGTGGAATGAGGGATATCATTGCTGGTTTCAGATGGATCTTGTCTGAAAGCAGAGAATACCAGAAAGATGTTTACCTGTGTTTTACTGACTATACAAAGGCATTTGTGTGGATCATAACAAATTATGGATAACATTGCAAAGAATGGGAATTCTAGAACACGTCATTGTGCTCACGCAGACCTGTACATACAACAGAAGGCAGTCGTTCGAACAGAACAAGGGAATACTGTGTGGTTTAAAATCAGGAAAGGTGTGTGTCAGGATTGTATCCTTTCACCATACCTATTCAACCTGTATGCTGAGCAAATAATCTGAGAAGCTGGACTGTATGAAGAAGAATGTGGCAAAAGGATTGGAGGAAGACTCATTAACAACCTGTGATATACAGATGACACAATCTTGCTTGCTGAAAGTGAAGAAGACTTGAAGCACTTAACTGATGAAGATCAAAGACTACATCCTTCAGTATGGATTCCCCTACCCATTGCCATTGAGTTGATTCCTACTCATACCGACCCTATAGGACAGAGTGGAACTGCCCCATAGAGTTTCCAAGGAGCGCCTGGTGGATTTGAACTGCCGACCTTTTGGTTAGCAGCTATAGCACTTAACCACTACACCACCAGGGTTTCCTCAGGATGGATTATACTTCAACATAAAGACAAAAATCCTCACAACTGGACCAATAAGCAACATCGTGATAAATGGAGAAAAGATTGAAATCGTCAAGGATTTCATTTTACTTGGATTCATGATCAATACCCATGGAAGCAGCAGTCAAGAAATCAAATGATGTATTGCATTGAGCAAATCTGCTGCAAAAAATCTCTTTAAAGTGTTGAAAAGCAAAGATGTCACTTTGAGGACTAAGTGCACCTGACCCAAGTCATATTTTCAATCGCCTCATATGCATGCAACAGCTGAACAATGAGTAAGAAAGACCGAAGAAGAACTGATGCATTTGAATTATGGTGTTGGCAAAGAATATTGACTATACCATGGACTACCAGAAGAAGAAACAAATCTGTCTTGGAAGAAGTCCAGCCAGCACACTCCTTAAAAGGGAGGATGGTGAGACTTTGTCTGACATACTTTGGACATGTTATCAGGAAGGACCAGTCCTTGGAAAAGGACATCATGCTTGGTAAAGTAGAGGGTCAGTGAAAAAGAGGAAGACCCTCAACGAGATGCATTGACCCAGTGGCTGCAGCAGTGGGCTCAAACATATCAACAATTATGAGGATGGCACAGGACCAGGCAGTGTTTTGTTCTTTTGTACATAGGGTTACTATGAGTTGGAATCGACTCGACGGCACCTGACAACAACAGTCCCAGTATCCCAATGCAAAGTGCAGAAGGATGGATATGAAGCTAAGAGACAATAGATGAATAACTGGCGCATAGACCATACCACCGGACTTACTGTTAGGTGTAATATTACATTTACTTACTGTTTAAGCCAGTTTTGGGGAGTTTTGTTTACTTGTAGCCAAAAGCATCCTGGTATATCTGTGACAAGCTTTGGTTTTTATATGATAATTTAGAATTCACATGTATTTGACCTAAAGTAAGTTATGATAAAAAATGGCAAAGAGAGAAGTAGTTTTAATATTAACTTGTCTCATACCAAATCACCAAAATAGCACTTATTTTCTTTCTGGGGTTCTACTTGGTATAAATTTTCTATGATTCTAATGATTTGAAAAAGATTTACTGAACATACTTAGAAGTCAAGGACTATGCTAGGTAGACTCTAGTGATTTTATTTTTCCTGATAAACAATTATAGCATTTTGACTTTGTTAGAGGAATGAAGTAGTGACTGTGACCACAACCAGTTGAAACTTGGAAAACATTGTTCATCAGTAAGTTGTTTTGTATAGATCAGTGTCTATTCAAGATCAGTCCATGACAAAATTTTCACTTCGTCTGTGGCCAAGCAAGAAAAATAAGGGGGGGTGTACTTTTTTTTAAAAAAAGAAATCTATATTAAGAGCCTACTTTATTTTTAAAGTTTAGGCTTTATTTTTTTTTGTAATTAAAATTTCCTTAAAAAAAATTTGGTGAAAATATAGACAACAAAACATATACCCATTCAGCAATTTCTGCATGTGCAAATCAATGCCATTGGTCACCTTCTTCATATTGTGTCAGTATTCTCACTGTCTCTACCCGTATTGTTTCAATACCTTAACTTATTACTGTCTGTGCCCCTTAAAGGTCTCATCTGTATTTTAGAGTTACTGTTATTTATTTGATCTCATATAGATAATTCTTTAAAAGAGTGTAGTATTCAAGGTTGACATTTATTAATTGAACTAAACTGTTGTTTAGTTTAAAGATGAATTCATGAGATAGCTTTGGTTCGAGGTTTAAAGATTATTTCAGGATGATATATTCTGGGCTTCCCCCAGTCTCAATGGATCCAGTAAGTCTGGTTTCCTTAAGAGTTTGATGTTCTGTTCCACATTTTTCCTCCTTTCCATCAAGATCCATCTGTTGGGTCCTTGATCAAAATGTTCAGTAATGGTAGCTGGGCACCAACCATTTCTTCTGGTCTTATGACAAAGGAAGGCAATTCTACTGCAGACTGTTCCCTTCTCCATTTCCTGGGTCTCCTTCTTTTTCTACTGCTCCAGGCAAACAGGACCAATTGTTGTATCTTACGTGGTCACACACAAGCTTTTGAGACCCCAGGTACTACTCACTGAACCAGGAGGTAGAAGAGAAACTAAAAACATTAGGCCAATTGAGTGGATAGACCCACAAAGCCATAACCTTAAATCTTTGAACCAAGAAATCTAATCCCATGAGATATTTAGTTGTAGCTAGGTTTATCAACAAGGGCAGCCTTTTTATTTTGCCTGCTGCTGTTGTAAAATTATAAATAAAACTATATTTGTCATTTTGCCTTGTTTCTCTGGTGCACAGCTTAGTTATATCAAAAATATCCTTTTATAATTATTCTTACTTTGCAAAAAATTTGCAACCTTATGTGTATAGGTTGTCATAGCACAGCCTTGCTACTCAAAATGTGGTTCAAGGACCAGCAGCATAAACATTGTCTGGGAGCTTGTAGAAATGCAGAATTGCTAGCTCCCCCCAGAACTACTGAATCATAATTTGCATTTTAACAAGATTCTTTACATGATTTGCATACACGTAATAAAGTGAGAAGCTCTGATCTCGACAATATCCATCCACTGCACACACCAGCTCTCCCCAACCTCTTATCTGCTCTTCTTATCAAGACATTCTACTCCTCCATCCACCCAGTTGTTCAGTTCAGAAGCCTGGGAATTATCTTGGTCTCACCTTGTCCCACTCCTCCTCTACCCTCCTCCCATATCAAATTCATCAATGTTGTTATTGTGTGCTGTCCAGTTGATTTTGACTCATAGCAACCCCATGTGACAGAGTAGAACTGCCCCGTAGGATTTTCTAGGCTTCTAAATCTTTACGGGAGCAGATCGTCAGGTCTTTTTCCCACAGAGCCACTGTCTGGGTTCAAACCGCCAATCTTGCCATTGCTCCACCAGGGCTAAGCCTTATGATCTCCTAAATGTATATAAAATCTGTCTACTTCTCTCCAAGTTCCACTGTTGCCACTTTCATCCAAGCTGCCATCATCTTTTTGCCTGGATGACAGTAAGTAAAACTTCCTAACTTCCTAAGCAGGTGTCCCTGCTTTCACTCTTGCCCTCCTGACATTCATCTGTACTGAGCAGCCAGTTTGAGC